GAGGACAGGAGGACAGGGAGGACAGGACAGGAGGGACAGGAGGACAGGAGGACAGGAGGGACAGGAGGAGGGACAGGAGGACAGGAGGACAGGACAGGAGGGGAGGAGGACAGGAGGACAGAGGGGGACAGGAGACAGGAGGACAGGACACAGGAGGGAGGACAGGAGGACAGGGGACAGCGAGGGGACAGGAGGACAGGAGGAGGGAGGCACAGGACAGGAGAGGACAGGAGGACAGGAGGGACAGGAGGACACAGGACAGGGAGGACGAGGGAGGACAGGAGGACAGGAGGGAGGGACAGGAGGGGACAGGAGGACAGGGGAGGACAGGAGGGACAGGAGGACAGGAGGACAGGAGGACAGGGGGGACACGGGAGGGGGACAGGAGGACAGGAGGACAGGAGGAGGACAGAGGACAGGAGGACGGAGGACAGGAGGGAGGAGGGCACAGGAGGGACAGAGGAGGACGGAGGGGACACAGGGGACAGGAGGACGGGAGGACATCTGAGTTGTTCTGCTGTTTTGTGAATGAGTAAAGAAAATCAATGAAGTCCCAGATTAAACCAGATTAAGTCCTAATCCCTGACCTGGACCAGGTCTCTGCAGGTCTGGACCAGGACTGAACCAGGTCTGGACCAGGTCTGGACCAGGACTGGACCAGGTCCGGACCAGGACTGGACAGAGCTCTGTTGTGTTTGTCCTGTGGATGTGACTAATGAGAGGCCCCAGGAATGTCACACACACACACACACACACACACACACACACACACACACACACACACACACACACACACACACACACACACACACACACACACACACACACACACACAGACACACACACACACACACACACACACACACACACACACACACACACACACACACACACACACACACACACACACACACACACACACACACACACACACACACACACACACACACACACACACACACACACACACACACACACACACACACACACACACACACACACACACACACACACACACACACACACACACACACACACACACACACACACACACACACACACACACACACACACACACACACACACACACACACACACACACACACACACACACACACACACACACACAGACACACACACACACACACACACACACACACACACACACACACACACACACACACACACACACACACACACACACACACACACACACACACACACACACACACACACACACACACACACACACACACACACAACACACACACACACAACACACACACACACACAGACACACACACACACACACAACACACACACACACACACACACACACACACACACAGACACACACACACAACACACACACACACACACACACACACACACACACACACACACAACACACACACACACACACACACACACACACACACACACACACACACACACACACACACACACACACACACACACACACACACACGACACACACACACACACACACACACACACACACACACACACACACACACACACACACACACACACACACACACACACACACACACACACACACACACACACACACACACACACACACACACACACACACACACACACACACACACACACAGACACACACAACACACACAGACACACACACACAACACACACAGACACACATAGACCTGAAGTGTTGCTGTTTGTATCTGAAAATGTTTTTCCACAAAACTCAAAATGACACAAACTGCTACTGACAGGGACTGACAGGGACCAACAGGGACCAACAGGGACTGACAGGGACTGACAGGGACCAACAGGGACTGACAGGGACCGACAGGGACTGACAGGGACTGACAGGGACCAACAGGGACCAACAGGGACTGACAGGGACCAACAGGGACGACAGGGACTGACAGGGACCAACAGGGACTGACAGGGCAACTACACCTGTCAGAGTGGTCATGTGGTGCGTGGGCGTGTCGGGGGTCGGGGGTCGGGGGTCAGTACTCACTGTGGCTTTGGTGCAGCTCATGGTGGAGCTCAGTCATAAACGAGGATGAAGAGACCCATTTGATCCAGACTCACAACACAGTCTAGTCCTGGTTTAGTCCAGGTCTAGTCCTGGTTTAGTCCTGGTTTAGTCTTGGTTTAGTCTTGGTTTAGTCCAGGTTTAGTCTTGGTTTAGTCTTGGTTTAGTCCAGGTTTAGTCTTGGTTTAGTCTTGGTTTAGTCCAGGTTTAGTCCAGGTTTAGTCTTGGTTCAGTCCAGGTTCAGTCCAGGTTTAGTCTTGGTTCAGTCCAGGTTCAGTCCAGTGTGTGTTTGTTCTGAAAGCTGCTGAGGTCTGGAGAGTCTGTGTTGTGAGAAAGTGCTGATCTAATCCTAATCCTGGCTGAGTCCAGGTTGAGTCCAGGTTGAGTCCAGGTTGAGTCCAGGTTGAGTCAGGTTGAGTCCAGGTTGAGTCCAGGTTGAGTCCAGGAGAAAAGTCCCGACGGAGCAAATCTCCGTAAATCTGAGCGAAACTTAGAATTCGGGATTAAGGATTTACACCGAGAATAGAACAGACCTGAGCCCGGACTCGGAGTGGGGCCTGGACTCGGACCAACCCAGTCTTTATAAAACCCGGTCTTTATAAACCCGTTAAACCCGGTCTTTATAAAACCCGGTCTTTATGAAACCTCCAACCCGGGACGACCCCTGTGACCCGGTGAACCCTGAAGCTCCAACATTTAAAAGCTGATAGAAAAATTATTTATCCATCTCCATTATTATTTATTTTATTTCTGTTACATTTCGTATTCACCAGGAAACGTGTTTTGCTTTGTCATGTTTTTAATTTATTGCCTTAAAACACGATTCTATTGTACGACATCTTATTTTCAAATGAATAAAAATGATAATACTATTTTTTAAAAACGCAGATGGTGACACAAACACGTGATCTTTGTATGAAGCACAGGGGAAATAAATAAAAATAAAAGTAAAAAAATATAACTAAAAGAACTTAACAAGAGCTATGAACCTATTTCATTTATTTTTTTATTTACTTTGCTCCTGTCTGACTGATTTGTTTGTATCATATAAGTTTGCTTAATAATAATAATAATAATAACAATAATAATAATAATAATAATAATAATAATAATAATAATAATAATGTTTTTAAAAGTCAAACAATAAAAATAATTCATAATCCCTGTGTCTGTACCGTTTCCTCGCGGCAGGTGGCGCTCTCACACTCCTCTTTTATCCCTCCACTTCCAGCCCCTCTCCCTTCTTTTCCGGTGTTAACATCATGGCGGCGGAGGGGGACGTGGAGCTGGAGCTGGAGGCGGAGGAGAACTGCGCTCTGTCCGGGAACAAAGCGCAGGAGAAGCCGCGGAAACACGACAGCGGCGCCGCGGACCTGGAGCGGGTCACGGACTACGCGGAGGAGAAAGAAATCAGCAGCGAAGATCTGCAGACGGTGAGAGGCTAACGAGGCTAACGAGGCTAACGAGGCTAATGCGGCTAATGCGGCTAATGCTAAAAACACGAGGAGGCGCACGCGGCGCAGACGGAGCTGAACCGCGTCTAAACCGCGTCTAAACCGGATACGAGTAAATCACATTTTTATTTAGTAAAAGTTTTAAAGTTTCATCTTTTTGTGCACCTGTCACGGGGCAGGGCGTGCACCTGTCACGGGGCACGTGGAGGCGGTGAGGTTGGGGTGTGGTTAGGGGCACCGGCCTCATGTGACCAAACCTATTTGTCAAATCCTGATCTGGAGTCAGATCCCAGAACCTCTGAGTCCAGATCAGGAGCCACGGGGGAACCACAGTTGCACTTTGTAGCCACAGCTGCCCTGGGGCAGAGTCACAGGAGTGTGGAGAGAAGAAGAATGAAGTGTGAATGTTGTAAATGTGAGACGCACGTGTGTGAAACGTCTCGTGTGTTTCCTGTGAACCTCAGGACACATTTAAAAGTTTTGTTTTTGGTGTTTGAAGTTTTTAACTGTCTTATGACCCTGACCTATGACCCTGACCCGCCCTGATTTATTGATCTGATAAATAAAACAGCACTGAGCTGATGGAGCAGGGGCTCTAACGTCTGCTCCGGTCCTGGTCCCGGTCACGGTCCTGGTCCTGGTTCTGGTTACGGTTCTGGTCCAGGTCCTGGTCTGATCTCGAGTGTTTGTGTGTTTCAGGCGATGTCTGTGATCGGAGACAGAAGATCCAGAGAACAGAAAGCCAAACAAGAACGGTCAGAAAACACACAACACAACACACATAACACACACAACACACATACACACACAACACACATACACACACAACACACATCACGCACACAACCTGACCCTGTGACCTCTGACCTTTGTTTGACAGTTTGATTTTTGTGTTTTTAGAGAAAAGGAGCTTGCAAAAGTCACGATCAGGAAAGAAGACGTGGAGCTCATAGTGAGTGTGTGTGTGTCTATGTCTAGTGTGTGTGTCAGTGTGTGTGTGTGTCAGTGTCTGTGTGTGTGTGTGTGTGTGTGTGTGTGTGTGTGTGTGTGTCAGTGTCTGTGTGTGTGTGTCTGTGTGTCTATGTGTGTGTCTGTCTGTGTGTGTGTGTGTGTCTGTGTCTGTGTGTGTCAGTGTCTGTGTGTGTGTTTGTGTGTGTGTTTGTGCGTTTGTTGCAGATGTGTGTGTTTGACCCTCTCTCATGTGTGCGTGTTGTGTGTGTTTGTGCGTTTGTTGCAGATGTGTGAGCTGGAGATCAGTCGTGCGTTGGCGGAGCGTTCTCTGAGGGAGCACCTGGGCAGTGTGGTCGAGGCTCTGGTGGCGCTCACAAACTGAACACACAACCTGAACACACACACACAACCCGAACACACACACAACCTGAACACACACACACAACCCGAACACACACAGCCTGAATACACACACAACCTGAATACACACACAGCCTGAACACACTTTGACATCTGTCTTTCTGCTCTTTTTCTAATAAAGTGTCAAACAAATGTGAGTTTGTGTTTTATATTTTATTATTTCTTTTTCTCTTTTTATTTTGACTTGTACATTTACATCATTTATAGAATTGTTTGATTTCACTCGTGTTTCTTGTTTATTTAGGATTTATTGTCACATTTATATTTTTGTCTTTGTTTTTCTCTTTTATTTGTGACGTGTGATTGAGTCTGAATCATTTCCCTCTGGATCAATAAAGTTTGTGTGTGTCAGGTCCCTCCCCGTGTGTGTCAGTCCCTCCGTGTGTGTCAGGTCCCTCCCCGTGTGTGTCAGGTCCCTCCCCGTGTGTGACAGACTGTGATGGGGACAAATGTCTGTGGTGACTGCAGATGTTGTGCTCGCTGTAGGAGGAAGCACAGACCCTCAGGCCCGAGCAGGAGGTTCTGGAGGTTCTGGAGGTGATGGTCAGGAGGTTCTGGTGGTTCTGATTAGGAGGCTGTGAAAGGCCTAAAACGCTCCTCGGCTCATGTGCCAGTGTGTGAGCGGTGTCAGGTTCAGTCCCATTTATTTTAGGCCGAGACTCTGGTCCGGACTTAGACCAGGTCCACACTTAGTCCAGACTTAGTCCTGCTCTGGTCTCTGCTCATGCTGGATTATCACCTCCACACTTCACTCAAATCTGGATTAAACCTGGACTAACCTGGACTAAAGAGCTGGATCAAAACCAGACTACAGCCTGAAGACCGGACTAACCCTGGACTAAATTTGGACTAAACCTGGACTAACTCTGCACTCTGGACCTCACTGACGGTAAGTTTGTCCTAATGTAGAAACAATTTCATTGTTCAATTGTAAAAAGTTTGAAACTACAAAAAGTGAAAATGTGTTTAAACTACAAACATGGCGGAACAAACAAGAGAACCATCGACCAATCAGAAGAGAGTAACAGCTGTCAATCTCAGTCTGACTCTTCTGAGTCGAGCACATTTAGTGTTTCTGCAGATTTGAGCTCAAATGAAATCTGAGACAAAACACGAGACCGAGTTTAGATCAAGGATCAGAATAATGTTCCACATGACACTGTACTTTATAAAACTGTAAATATAAAATCAAACTGTACTTTATAAAACTATAAATATAAAATCAAACTGTACTTTATAAAACTATAAATATAAAATAATACTGCACAATATCAAACAATAATAACACAATGAAATCTGAATTATGTTCCACATGAAACTGCACATGCAGTATAATGCAGTACTTGCAGTATAATGCAGTACTTGCAGTATAATGCAGTACTTGCAGTATAATACTGTAAGTATCACATTATACAGTAACATGATACAGAAATATTCAGAGAAAAAAATAAATGTTTTATTTCTGTAGGAGTCACATAAGAAACAGAAAATATTGTGGAGCCAAAATGTTCAACTCAATTCTGCAGAATATTAATTTGATTTCTTTATAAAAAATCAGTAAATGTTTTTGTTGTGACGCTGCTCAGACTGAAGAAAAGTTTCTGTTGGACTCATGAAAAAATGAAACTGCAGAATAAAAAAGTCACTAAAAACACGTGTAAAATAAAATAAGTTTTAGTCCAGCAGGAGGAAAAAATATAAAATCTGTTGATTGTGTAAATTCCACAAGTTTAACCAAGTCAGAATCAAACAAAGAACCAGAACCAGGACCAGAACCAGGACCAAGACCAGGTCTGATCTACAGAGTCAAACACAGAGGCCACACGACTGTGCAGTATCACACAGTACTGCAGTACACAGACAGACAGACTTGTTTAGTCCAGGAGCAGACAGGAGCAGACAGGAGCAGGCAGGAGCAGACAGGAGCAGGCAGGAGCAGGCAGGAGCAGGCAGGAGCAGGCAGGAGCAGACAGGAGCAGACAGGAGCAGACAGGAGCAGACAGGAGCAGGCAGGAGCAGACAGGAGCAGGCAGGAGCAGAATGATGCAGACAGGAGCAGGCAGGAGCAGGCAGGAGCAGACAGGAGCAGGCAGGAGCAGGCAGGAGCAGGCAGGAGCAGGCAGGAGCAGGCAGGAGCAGGCAGGAGCAGGCAGGAGCAGGCAGCAGGCAGGAGCAGACAGGAGCAGACAGGAGCAGGCAGGAGCAGACAGGAGCAGGCAGGAGCAGACAGGAGCAGACAGAGCAGGAGCAGGCAGGAGCAGGCAGGAGCAGACAGGAGCAGACAGGAGCAGGCAGGAGCAGAGAGCAGCAGGAGCAGGAGCAGGCAGGAGCAGACAGGAGCAGACAGGAGCAGGAGGAGCAGACAGAGCAGGAGCAGACAGAGCAGACAGAGCAGACAGGAGCAGACAGGAGCAGGCAGAAGCAGGCAGGAGGCAGACAGGAGCAGGCAGGAGCAGACAGGAGCAGACAGGAGCAGACAGGAGCAGACAGGAGCAGACAGAGCAGACAGAAGCAGGCAGGAGCAGACAGGAGCAGACAGGAGCAGGCAGGAGCAGACAGGAGCAGACAGGAGCAGGCAGGAGCAGACAGGAGCAGGCAGGAGCAGAATGATGCAGACAGGAGCAGACAGGAGCAGGCAGGCAGGAGCAGGCAGGAGCAGACAGATGCAGACAGGAGCAGACAGGAGCAGGCAGGAGCAGAGAGCGAGGTCGGCAGCTGGTCCAGATCTGGATCAGGTTTCGGTCTAAACTTAGATCTGGTCCTGGACAGTCCCAGAATCTAAACCAGGTCAGACCATGAAGCAGAACTTTAGAGAGAGACAAACTCTAAAACAAACTCTAAAACAAACTCTAAAACACAAACTCTAAAACAAACTCTAAAACAAACTCTAAAACAAACTCTAAAACACAAACTCTAAAACAAACAAACTCTAAAACAAACTCTGAAACAAACTCTAAACAAACTCTGAAACAAACTCTGAAACAAACTCTGAAACACAAACTCTGAAACAAACTCTGAAACACAAACTCTGAAACACAAACTCTGAAACAAACTCTGAAACAAACTCTGAAACACAAACTCTGAAACAAACTCTGAAACAAACTCTGAAACAAACTCTGAAACAAACTCTCTGAAACAAACTCTGAAACAAAAAACTCTGAAAACAAACAAACTCTGAAACAAACTCTGAAACAAACTCTGAAACAAACTCTAAAACAAACTCTAAAACTCTGAAACAAACTCTGAAACACAAACTCTGAAACAAACTCTGAAACAAACTCTGAAACACACTCTGAAACAAACTCTGAAACAAACTCTGAAACAAACTCTGAAACAAACTCTGAAACAAACTCTGAAACAAACTCTGAAACAAACTCTGAAACAAACTCTGAAACAAAAAACATCTAAACAAAAAACTCTGAAACAAACTCTGAAACAAACTCTGAAACAAACTCTGAAACAAACTCTAAAAACAAACTCTGAAACAAACTCTGAAACAAACTCTGAAACAAACTCTGAAACAAACTCTGAAACACAAACTCTGAAACAAACTCTGAAACAAACTCTGAAACAAACTCTGAAACAAACTCTGAAACAAACTCTAAAACACAAACTCTGAAACAAACTCTGAAACAAACTCTGAAACAAAACTCTGAAACAAACTCTGAAACACAAAAAAACAAACTCTGAAACAAACTCTACTCTGAAACAAACTCTGAAACAAACTCTGAAACAAACTCTGAAACACAAACTGAAGATTATTTTTTTAATTTCAAACCTGCGTTTACACTTCACAGTATCATGAGAGCAGACACACACACACACACACACACACACACACACACACACACAGACACACACACACACACACACACACACACACACACACACACACACACACACACACAGACACACACACACACACACAGACAGACACACACACAACACACACACACACATACATACACACACACACACACACACACACACACACACAGACACACACACACACACACACACACACACACACACACACAGACACACACACACACACACACACACACACACACACACACACACACACACACACAGACAGACACACACACACATACACACACACATACATACACAGACTGACACAGACACACACACAGACACACACACACACACACAGACTGACACACACACACACACACACACTGACCAAACGCACGCAGGCGAGGTCCAGATGAGGTCCAGGTGAGATCCAGGTGAGATCCAGGTGAGATCCAGGTGAGGTCCAGGTGAGGTCCAGGTGAGGTCCAGGTGAGATCCAGGTGAGGTCCAGGTGAGGTCCAGGTGAAGTCCAGGCGAGATCCAGGTGAGGTCCAGGTGAGGCCCAGGTGAAGTCCAGGCGAGGTCCAGATGAGGTCCAGGTGAGGTCCAGGTGAGATCCAGGTGAGGTCCAGGTGAGGTCCAGGTGAGATCCAGGTGAGGTCCAGGCGAGGTCCAGGTGAGGTCCAGGTGAGGTCCAGAGTGTGAGTGTTGTGTGTGTAAAGACTCGTATTAACAGTAAACTGCAGCTTCACACGTTTAGATTCCACCAGAGACTCTCAAATTAAAATTATTTACTTTTTATTTAATAAAAATCATTGATTTTTATTTTCGTCGTGTTTTTAAATGACATTTCTGTTCGGCAGCTTCACTTTTTCATTGCTGAGTCAAAACAAAAACATGAACTCAGTACTACAATACTACAATACTATAATACTACTAGTACTACAATACTATTAGTACTACTACTACAACTACAATACTACAATACTATAATACTACTAGTACTACAATACTACAATACTATAATACTGCTAGTACAACAATACTACTGCACTACTAGTACTACAATACTACAATACTACTACTACAATATTATTAGTACTACTACTACGACTACAATACTACAATACTATAATACTACTAGTACTACAATACTACAATACTATAATACTACTAGTACTACAATACTACAATACTACTGCACTACTAGTACTACAATACTACTAGTACTACTACTACTACAGTACTACTAGTACTACAGTACTACAAGTAGGCAAGGCAAGGCAAGTTTATTTGTACAGCACAATTCGTACACAAAGTA